CCATACACAGAGTAGACAGGGATGGGCAACTTGAACATTGGCTACCCAAAATGGGGGGGCTACAAAGGCAAGAAGTGATTGGCTTACAAGCTTTCAAGAGGGAACCTAGATCCAGAGGGCGAGGAATAAGGTAGAATCTCCAGTGAGTAGTATCCAATCTGTCTAGGTCCGGTTGATGAAAGGAGATGCAGCTGGGTCTCTTGTGATACAATAATGAATAATTGTTATCAGGACTGATTGTGAGGGTTGGAAATGTAAAGGTAGATGTTTCATAGCAAGGAGGGGAGCGATTAACTTTTCAGTCTAGGGGCGGAGGTCCCTAGGACCATCAATGGAGAAGAGCGGAGAGTGGGACCCTACCCAGAGAAGCATTGATGTCTGAGATGGAGGCAGAGACGATGATGTGGAGAGATGGAGCAACTGAGGACTTGAGATCCAGAGGGGCTTTTTGTTGACTACCGGAGCAGGGGGGAGGGGGGGCAAGGCAGACTTGCAGGGTATACCCTTTGGTTGGTTGATGATACATGGAGGGGATTGTAACCGTGGCAATGAAACGATATACAATAGAATGAATGTAAAACTAATGTTCTCCCATGGAAACTATCACCTAATTCACAATAAAACATTTATTTTAAAAAATGAGGTTTTGTAGTGAGATCATTTCCATTGAATTTTATACTAGTATCAATTCATGAGCTTGATTTAAAGTTTAAGGAATAAACCTTTTTCTAAATGAGTATCAAATAATTTAATCTCACCCAGCTGAATGGGTTTCTTTTGGTTGGTCAATAAGAATGAGACACTTTGCAGGTTAATAAGTACTGAAGATCTCCACTGTGTCTGGGGTCGTATCATAAAGGTGGTGCTCACTGTTTCCATGATGACTAGTAAAATGAGTATGCATTTTGTAAGCATAATGTAAGCCTTCATTTTTCCTTACTTAATGAAGGAAGTATGGACTTATATACTCCCATCTCTATAGACTTATCCCATAATGTTTTTCAAGAGTCTGTCTCATACAAGTTACAAAGTTAAATTTTCCAGTTCTTCTTTTGACTTTCACCTCAATGACCTTGCCAGGTTGGACCTCAGTGGCAAGAAGAAAAGCCAGTAATACATATCCAAGATCGTATTTTTCACAATTTCTATAGCAGGCACCCTCCATTCACAGGGTTCGCTTGGGAAAAGTAGCTGCCATTCACAGGTTTGTGTTCACTTCTGTTTGAATAATTGGCACAAATTCTGAATTGAATCTAAGAGACTGAAATGGGCCTGCCCCTGCTCTGAGAATGAATGAAACAACCAGGCAGCTTGATTTCTTTTGCAGTCTTATTCCCAGCCTAAGCTTTTTTGTTTTGGTTTGGTTTGGTTTGGTTTACAAGAGGCAACAAAGCACACCTCCTACTTCAGATGCCTTGTGCAGGAAATGTAAATGGTTCCTTAGTCAAATCAGGACAATCAACTACAGAGGTCTGGACATCAGTAAAATGATCTTTTACTCCCTTCTTACGAATTGGTCTGCGAACCGCAAGGTCAGCAGTTTGAAACTACCAGCTGTTCCATGGGAGAAAGATGAGGCTTTCTGCTCCCATGAAGATTTACAGCCTCAGAAACCTTGTACAGGGTCACTATGAGTTAGAACCAACTCCATGGCATGTAACTACCACCACCACAGGAGTCCTTTCTTATTCACTGTCCAGCTTTCACATGCATATGAGGCTATTGAAAATACCATGGTCAGGCACATCTTAGTCCTCAATGGCCAAACTTCGTCTTTCATACTTTGGACACATTGTCAGGAGGAACCAGTCGCTAGAGAAGGGTATCATGTTTGGTAAGGTGGAGGGTCAGAGAAAAAGAGGAAGACCCCCAATGAGGTGGATTGGCCAAGCGGCAGCATTGATGGACTCAAGCATGACAACAGTAGTGAGGTTGGCCCAGGATCAGGTAGTGTTTCATTCTGCTGTGCATAAGGTCACTATGAGTTGGTACCGACTTGATGGCACCTAACAACAACAGGAGTCCTGGTGTGGCACTGTGGGTTAATGCACTAGACTGCAGTCATTTGAACTGCAAGGTCAGCAGTTCCAGCTCACCAGCTGCTCCTTGGAAACCCTATACAGGATCACTATGGGTCAGAGTTGACAGGACAGCACCTAACAACAGGAGTCCTGGTGTGGCGCTGTGGGTTAATGCACCAGACTGTTTGAATTGCAAGGTCAGTGGTTCAAGCTTACCAGCTGCTCCTCGGAAACCCTAAACAGGGTTGCTATGGGTCAGAATCGACTCGACAGCACTTAACAACAAACAACAGAACTCCAGCCAGCTACTCTAGACTTGGCACATGAAAAGGAAACTCAACATTTTCTCTCTTGAAGTGCAAGATTGTCCAAATAAAGCTATTGTAGGCCAATTATCACAAGAGTTCACAGTGCACCAAGAATGAACAACTGCTGATTCAACTCAAAGAAACCTTTAAACTTCACTGCTTCCCTCAGACAACTCTACTTCCTCTCCGTAAATGAGTCAAACTCTTACCTACCCACCCTGAGTTTTGGTTTTGCTCTGCTTTGATATATCTGGGTGGACAGAGTGGGAAGGCTAACTTTGAGGCTAGTTTGGCAGTATTGGGCCACTCCTCTCTTGTCTCAGGTGGGTACAGTAACTGAAAGGAGAATGGGGTCAGGTCTCTGCTTACTGGTCAGACAGCAGCTGAAAGAAAGATAAAGAGATGCTGTCCACCATCTGTCACTGATCAATAGTGTTGAAGTGAGTAGCCATCAGACATCAGCGATGACATCCCTCATTGCATGGCCTTGTCTGAATCTGGCTTGAACCTCTGAAGTTCTCTGTCAATGTATGTATGATTGTAGCCATTTCTGTATTACTTTTAGTAAAACTTTACTTGCATGGGATATCAAAGAGATTGTCCGATGATTTCTGCATTCCGATGGGTTACCTCTCTTTGGAATGGGCACAAATATGGATCTCTTCCAATCAGTCGGTCAGATAGTTGTTTTCCAAATTTCTTGGCATAGATGAGTGTGAGTGCCTCCAGTGCCACCTCACTGTCTTGAAATATTTCAATTTTCATTTCATCAATTCCTGATGCCTTGTTCTTTCCCAATTCCTTCAATGCATCTTGGACTTCTTCCTTCAGTATCATTTGCTCTTGACCATATGCTACCTCTTGAAATGGTTGAGCATCAACTATTTCCTTTTGGTACAGTGACTGTGTATTCTTCCATCTTCTTTTGATGCTTTCTGCATGATTTAATAATTTTCCCAGAAAATCCTTCAATAACGAAAATTGAGACTTGAATTTTTTCTTCAGTTTCCCCAGCTTCAGAAATGCTGAGCGTGTTCTTCCTTTTTGGTTTTCTGACTCCAGATCTTTGCCCATTTTGTTGTCATATTTGGCTTTATCTTTTCAAGCTGACCTTTGAATTTTTGGTTCATCTCTTGTACCTCCCTCATTTCTTCCATTTGTTTTAGCATCTCTATGCTGGAGAACAAGTTTCAGTGCTGACTAATGGGGAAAAAATTTCCTCCTCTCCTTAGATGGAACAGAACAAAATAATAATAAAAAGGAAAAGTGTGAAAATGAAGAGTAGGGGGTACAAAAAGCAAGGAAAAGTAGGGTGAGGAGAAAACGAGAAAAGCATAAAATCCTAAAAATCAGAAAATGTTCCAGCAATGTTCCTGTGATGTGGCTCATGGGGCTGGGAGCCTGGCAGCCAGTCCAGGTATGTATGCCTCTCTGCTAGTGGTGGCTGCAGGCGCCAGTCATGAATTCTGAGAGCGAGACCTGTCAATCACATGGACACTTAGGAATGTGTACATTCCTGCACCCACCGGCAGTCACCCACTGCATACATTCAGTTTGCTTAGGAATGTGTGCAGAGGGTGACTGTCAGTGGGTGCAATAAACTAGGTGGATGTCCCTAGCCACTGGGTTGGTGGGAGCCAGAACTTCATCCCTGGATACCAGGACAGTACTATGGGAGAAAGCCAGAGAAGGAAAGCACTCCTCTGGTCACAGTTCATTGGTGTGAGCCCATTACATTTCCAGGCAGGCTCAACCAATTATCCAGTTTCTGACAAGATTCGATGATGGGAAGGGAATGAGGGAGAGGGTTGTCCAGAGTCTACAGTCCCCAAATGTGGACCCTCAACCCAAATGACCAGGTGTCTCTGTAAGTGAGCTGTTTTGTCCCTCTTCACTGACTTGCTTTGCAGTTGTTCATACCACTATTACCATATTGTGTCTCTGTCCCAATCAGGATTCCGTGAAGTTGACTTCTTCTCGCCCTCTATGTTTCAAAACTGCCGGGTACAGCATGGGACCCAGCTCCATCTCTGATTCATGGTTTTTCTCTGTCTGCCTTTCCAAAAGGTGTTTAATCCAATTCTCCATCCTGTCATTTGATGTTCTGAGCGCTAGGATTTTCATCTGTATGTGTTTTACTCAGTGTTTTGGGTCTCTGTTGTACAGGGATTAGACAGAATGTGTCCAAGTATATCGTCTTGTTTCTGCCTCCCTTAGATGTCTGTGAGTCTGTTTTTTTGAGGGTTTTTTTTCTGTGTGAATCAGGTGAGGGTTTGCAGACATGACCATCAGCTCTACAGTCAACAAAAAATACACCTTGCTTTATCTCAAAGATTATAGTCCCCTCCCTACAACAGCATTTATCCAACTTCCTCCTGTGGCCTCCCACTTCTATCTTATATTTCACAAATGAACAAAGCAAAAATATGTGATTTACCCTTACAAACCCAAAAAATGTGTATCTGAGTCATTCTTGATTTCCTCTTTATCTGCTCAACATCTAATCCTTCAACTAGTCCTACAAATTCTTCAAAATGTTTCAAATCAATCTACCTTTCTGTGTCACTCCCTGCCCCCATATCAAGCCTTATAAAACCTTAACTGGAACAGAGCCACTTGTGAATCACAGCAACTATGTCTAGCGGTTCTAAAACTATAAATATTTATGGCAGCAGAAAACCTTTTCTTTCTCCCACAATCTGTTTGAAATGCTGACCTGGTGTTTAGTAGTCCAGTGTCTAGCCTACAGCACCACCAGGGCTGTCCATCAAGCCTATACTAGTCCAAAAGCTCCTGATCCCACTTTCGCAACCTATTAATAGGTTTTCCTGTGTTGCTGTCAGGATTCTTTCCCTGACTTTGGTTTTAGAAAGTTTGGTTATGATGTGGTTGGTAGATTTCTTTTGGGATCTATCTTGTTTGGATTTTGCTATTTTCCCTGTATGCCTATCATCTTATGTTTCATGATGTTAGGGAAATTTTCTTCCAGCAACTCTTTGAAATTTTTTTCCCTAGGCTTTTTAGTGTTCATAGTGTCCAATGTAATTTAGGCTTTCTTCAGGTGTTTTTTTTCTCTGATTATTCTTCTAATGTACTAGTAGTGAGAGATTTATTTTCAAAGTCACTAATCCAGGTTTCCATTACTTTGAATCTACTCCTTTGCCCTTTCAATGTGTCATCCATTTCTGAAATCTTAGTTATTGATCTTCTGGATTTCTAATAGCAGGTTTGGTATTGTTTCAAAATTTGCATTTAATTTGTTTGTTCATTCTTGCAGGTGTTTTCCTGAATTTTTAAGTTTGTGTGTGTGTGTGTGTGTGCTCTCTTTGCTTTCTTCAATCTTTCTGTCAATCCTTTGAAGGTATCCAGGTATCATTCCTTTGAATTATTTTTCAGTTAGTTCCATTTCCTTTTCTTCCTCAGAAATGTGTTCTATTTCTGCATCTTGGTCATTTGTTTAAATCATTTTTGCTTGTTTCTCATGTGAGCTAAAATTGTGTGTTCTCTAAGATACTGGTGTGACACCATTGGCTTATGCACTGGATTGCAAAGTCTGCTTGAACCAGGAGGCCTGCTGTTCAAGCTCACCAGCTGCTCCTTGGAAACCCTATACAGAGCACTGTGGGTCAGAATCTGACTCTACAGCACTCACCAACATTTCCTTTGTGATTGTATGTTGATGTGTTCTTAGGTTCTCACCAACTGTCTCCTGTGGGTGTAGTTAGAGAATGGAACTTCTTGTTCACTGTTCAGGCAGGTCAGTTTAGGGTAGGTGTGACTGGTTTTGGCTGCTGTCCGTCATTGATCAGCTGGTATAGGAGATGGTGTTGGCTCTAGCTCAATGGGTGGAGCTGCAGAGAGTTTGATTGTAACTGGGCTCTCTGGGCCTGATTGCTGTCACATATTAGATGGGAAAGAGAACAACCCTCCCAGACACACATGAGAAAACAAAACAGAACAAACAATAAAGAGAAAAAGGAAATAAAAACAGGCATCAACTTTAAAAAAAAAGATTATAAAACCAAAAGAAGGACAGGAAAATGAATCTATAGAAGAGAAAATAAAAGGAAGAAATTTAAAATCCACTTAGAAAAACCAGGGAGAGTGAGGTGAAAAGAGACAGTAGAGAATGATAATGAAAGATCAAAAGGGAGAAAAAAGACAAAAGAGGGGAAATGAGGAAATGAGGAATAGAAGTAAAGGAAAAACAAAAGCAGAGATAAAAGGACAGAATTCAAGGGAATGGAAAGAGGAGGAAGAGAAAGAATAAATAAAAACAATTAAGCAAAAGGAAAAAATAAAGCTGTCAGACACAAAGAGGAGCAAAACCTGGAGGGTCCCTGCAAGCAGAAGAGGTCCAAAGGTGGGTATTGGGGTGGGGGGCAGTGGGGGTGACAACAAGAGTTCCTGGACATAGATAAAGTTCCTATTGGTCTTGGTGTTCTCCAAGTAATGTGTGGAGGACCTTGATTAAACTGGTTTCAGCATATGTTAGGACCACAGTGCAGCTGGTTAAGCGTTGGTCTAGTGACTCTGGGTTCTGTTGGTTTGGAGATGAGCCCATCTGAATCCAAGCACTAAAGCAGCCCAACCAGCACCTGCTCACACTGGTGTGGCTCCCAACCATGTGGCTCTGACCTCCCCAAGAACAGGATCTGCTCTGGGAGTGGATGAGGATGGGAGCTGGCACACCTCTGGTCACCTGGGGAGCATAGAGAAGAAGGAATCGCACTTTTCCCACGAACTGTGAGAATCTACTCTGGCAGGCCACCTTCTGTTGCCAAATTTGCTCAAAGTTGAAGATGGGTCAAGCCATGTCTGGCTCACCATTTACCAGTCAGTCCCTGTTTGTCACCATCCTTGCTCAGCTTTTCCTCCCAGCAAGCACTCAATCCACTTCCTCTGAAGTTCCCAGTTCCAGAATTTTCATGAGTATCTTTTTCATTTGTTCCTTTGTATCTTTGTTATAGGGTCCATGTAATGTATCTGCCTAGTTGACCAGTTTGCCGAAGTTCTTCCATTATCTGTTTTGTCTGAACTTTTTATTTTGAGTTGAGTGAGGATTCACAGACAAGATCATCAGTTTTACAGTCAACAAATCATACACTGTTTCAACTCAATGCTTGCAATCCCCTCCATGCAATAACACTTATCCCACCTCTTCCCTGTGGTTTCCTATTTCCATTCTACCCCCCTTCCTATCCCTTCTCAACTTTGTCCTTAAATAAATGTTGCCCTATTGATTTTGATTGCTTTGCCATTCCATGTTGTTGTCCCCCTAAACACCTATCTACTGCTTGACTGAAAATTGGGCCACAAGGGTGAGTTCCTTCCCAGACCTGAAGGGTGGTTGAGTACCATTGTTTCAGGCTCCTCCAGTCTCTTTCTGACCAATAAGCCTGTTGTGGTTTTTTTTGCATGTGTGTGTGTGTGGTTTTTTTAAAAATAATTTTGAGTTTTGTTCCCTAGTTTCTGCTGCTTTATCAGGGACCTCCTAATATGACCTCTTGCAGAGAAGTTGATCATGGTAGTTGGGCACCATCTAGTTCTCTGGTCTCAAAGTCTTAGAGAATGATGTTCACATGTTCCATTCATCTGTTAGACTAAATGATTGCAGGCATCTTCAGTTTTCATTATTCTTCGTTCTTCTGCACATGGAGAGTTAAATAGCTGCAATTTAGAAGGTCTCTCATGAGTTTTTAAGATCCCAGATGCTACTCACTAAAGTCTTTGTGGACTATGTTATGCCAATTTACCATGGTGTCCCCTGAGACAAGTCCCCAGGTCTGGCAGCTCATTGTCTTAAGATATCTGATCATATCTAAGAAGTTTACCTCATTTTGCCCACTGTATGCTTCACCACATTTATAGTTGTGTTTGCAGGAAGGGTAAATACCATGTACAAATATTCTCTTCCAAACTATTTGTGGGTGGGTAAATGTCCTCTCTTCCTCCCACACCCATTCAGCTTGTGTCCCTATCCATGGATCTTTCTGCAGAGCAGTGTTGTTTCAAGGTTATGTCTACATCACTGTTTACCTCTAACCCCTTTAGCCCTTGCATACCTTCCTGAGTCTTCACCTATCTTCATTATTCTTCAGCATAATGTGCTCCAGGTTCATCCATTTTATGAGATGTTTTGAGCATTCATCATTCTTCTTCAATGTTGCGTAGTATTCTGTTGTGTGTATGAACCAAAGTTTGTTTATCCATTGTTCCACTGATGGGCATTTAAGCTGTTTCCATCTTTTTGCTGCACAAGACCTCTTTGAAGTGCTCAAGAGCAAAGATATAAGTCTGAGGACTAAGGTGCACCTGACCCAAGCTATGGTATTTTCAAATTATCTCATGTACAGGGTCACTATGGATCAAAACCAATTCGATGACACTTAACAACAATGATTGATTTTTGATTGT